AACTGCCATGGTAGTTTCTCATACTGGGCGGACGGAAACAGATAAATCAGTGAGTTTGTTCTTTTTCACTTCCGTTTTAGATAGCCTGGAACACCCTATTGCAGTTACGGATACAGAGAAAAGTAAGAGTTACTTATACTTACTTATACTGTTACACAAAAAAGGAACTCCCCGTGTGGAAAGCAAGTCTGTAAATATGACGTGTTTATGCCGTTTTCTAACAGCAAGTTAATAGACCATTCCGGTAAACCGAAAAGAAAGAAGAAGAGGCGGAAGAAGCAAAGCGTTCTATGAGAAATGTACGGTGCGCCTTGGGAACGCTCGAAAGTAATCCACCGTAAACTAGATATTCTGCGTCGCCTGAGAGTGAGAACTATTGTCATTAACTCTCAAACGAATTAAGACATCAGACAAGTCACGTTTAACCGTTTGATACGACTGTGGAACCGACGCACCACCGTATATTTCTCATACTCGCCTTTGCTTCTTTCGTCTGTTCTTCTTTTTTCCGCTTTACCGGAATGGTCTGTTGTGAACGTAGACAAAAAAAAAGTTAAAATACGTCAAAGTAACGGCAGAGATAAGGTAAACGTGGTCTGGCGTACATCTACATAGTATATCTTTCCGTGGCATTCGTGTATGTATCTTGAAAATAGACCCTTTCAGAATTAGCAAAGTGAAGAACAAGGTGAAGAACAACAGGCAGGAAACAGTTGCTTTTAATAACCCAAACGTTTATGAAAACTTGCATAAAATATAAACAATTTCAAAATGATACGACCTACAGATCATTCAAGTGTTTTGAGTACATTTGGGTGATAAAAAGCTACTGTTTCCGGTCTATTGTTCTTCACCTTTTTCTTCACTTCGCTAATTCTGAAAGGGTCTATTGACTTATTGCTTCTGTGATATAACCAAAGGAAAATAAAAACTAGGTAGGTGTACGCCAGACCACGTCTCGCGTAACAGGCTTCGTGATATCTCACAAAACACTGTTACGCTTCGACGCGCCTGGCATACATCTACCTAGGCCTGCGGCGCTGACACCCGAATAAGGAAGCCAAAAAATGTACACAAAGATTCGGGCTTTCGGCCTGTCAACTTCCCGTCACTTCGACTAAAAATGCAGAGTTGTACATTTTTAGCCCGCCCCTCTTCTTTAAAAAAGATATCTAGCGGGCTTATGCAAACGACCTCTTGTCTGTGTGTCTGCCTGCGTGTCTGTTCCACTAGAAGGAGATCTGCTGGAGACTTCAAATTTTCAGGGTATCTTAAGGTTCACTCCTAGAAAACGAAAACGAAACGCCTACGGCAAATCCTGGCAACTACCCCAAAAGGGCTAAAAAAGGGAATCAAAGAAAATGGGGCAGGTCAAAAAAGTCAGGGGAAAATGTTCGTTTTATGATCTCCTAAGGGGTAACTCGTCAAAGTAGAACACTCTGGGCGAAAATTTCGTATGTTTGGCTCTATCTCTAACCGTTTTCGCGCTGGAGGGTCTTTTTTAACGACGTGTGTGCGCGGAAAATTTTAAGGACGACGGGCTTAGCGGGCCGAAGGCCCGTTACATCATTTCATTATGTTCTTCAGCAAATCGCGTGACAGAAATGGTCGGGCCGCAGACCCGACGATCGCCGCCGGCAGGCCAAGCAGGCCCGGACCCTGCCGAACGGAGTTGCCGGCGAAGCGAAGCTGGCAACTTCGTTTGGCGGAACGCAGGCCTGCTTGTTTCGCTTATTTTCGTCAAAAACTCCCTGTGGCGCCGAAATGGTTAAAGATAAAGCCTAAAGGACAAAATTTTCGCCCGAAGAGCTCTACTTTGATGAGGTACCCCCTCTTAAACTTTTAAAAAAATATTTTTGGCTGAGGGTTTAGCGAAGCCCATTACTCCGTCTGGTCGGAAAAAACTTTTTCTGTCTGTCTGTCTGTCTGTGTATCTGTCCGCACAAAAACTCAAAAACGAATTGAGCGAGCGACCAGGGATTTTCAGGGTCGTTTTGTGCCACAAAAAGACAGATCGAGTTCGAAGATGAGCATTGTAGCTCAAAAATTGGATTTGAAAAAAAAATCAAAAAACAACAGGTCCGAAAAATGACGTTTTTTTTTTTAAAAAAAAAATAGGTTTTTCAAAGGGGTAACTCATCAGAGTAGAGCCCCATGGACGAAAATTTTGTCCGTTTCGCTCTAGCTCAAACCGTTGAGGCGCTAGAGGGTATTTTTGACGAAAATAAGCGAAAAATGTAGAATCCTGTATGCTTAGTCGAGGTGACGGGCCGTTGACGGGCCCTTTGACGGGCCGTAGGCCCGTATCTTTGAGTACCTTTTCTAACTACCCGACTCGGGTGTCAGCGCCGCAGGCCAAGGTAGATGTATGCTAGGCGCGTCGCAGCGTAACAGTGTTTCGTAAGATATCGCGAAGCCTGTTACGCGAGACGTGGTCTGGCGTACATCTACCTTGTTAAAATCATATTTTGTGGGACCTATGGTTTTTGATTTTGTTAATATCCAATTTTTGAGCTAGAATGCTCTTCTTCGAACTCGATATGTCTTTTTAAGATACAAAACGACCCTGAAAATCCCAGGTCGTTGGCTCAATAAAGCATTCCGGTAAAGCTGAAATGCAGAAGAATGCGGGGAACAAAGAAACGGAAATCGCTATGCTCTAAGATGGTGACTTCCGTTTTCTTGTTCCCCGCATTCTTCTGCATTTCAGCTTTACCGGAATGCTTTATTCGTTCTCGAGTTATCGTGCGGACAGACACACAGACAGACAGATTCGAAACATTATGATCATCACTGGAGTAAATAGGCTTCGCTAATCGCTCAGCCAATGAAGGGTACAAACCAGCTGGGCATCCCGCTCCTCGCTGCACTGAAGGGGCACCAATCGTCTATACGGACTCTAACCCCCTAGACCTAGGGTGTACCCCTCTGAGTACAAATGTCAGGTGTTGTTTACCTTGTTGTTGAGAGGGGGTACAAATGCCTCAGGTGATTTGTAACTCCATTCGGCGAGGCGGTGCATATGTCCGCGGGCACTTGTACCGAGAGTACAGCGAGAAGAAGACTGAGTAGAACGTGATAGTTCCCACTTTACTCAGTGAACTTTTACAATAGTAAATCTCTCGAAAATCTCCACAGAATGGTCCGGTAATATTTAAAACAGTATGACCCTTTAGTGGAGGGAAGTTCTCAAGCGCAGGATTTGTCCCTGAAATATCAGTCGAACAGATTTTTATTCGTGGTATGAAAGTATAAGAAGGTATGTTTGGATTCTGTTCCTATAAGATGTTTAACAGTGTTGGTCGAGAGCTTCTCGGACCCGACCAATCATGAACCTTTATGGTCTAGCCGTTATTCTTCCTACACTAGCCTACTAGTTTGCTCGAAAAGCAACTTAAGCAACGCGCCAGTTCCCTGTGAGTTTTTCTACATACCAGAAGGTTCCTAGCATCTGCAATCGGCGTGAAACGGACCAAAAACACGAGGATCGCTGGTGTTAATATCATGACGGTGTATGCTGCACTGATCCAGTACGGTATCCTGCACAAAGTAGTCGAAATAAATTTCTTATCAGTTAAAAAAGTCTGTAAATTAAAGAACTAGAGCTGCAAGAACGCATGGCACTGTGATCAGCTAGTATCTCCTGGTAAGTGTGTCTACAATCGTACTATCGTTTACTTTCGTTTCAAAATGTAGTAGAGCAAAATTTAAAGTTTCTCAATCGTACTATCGTATACTTTTGTTTCAAAATGTAGTAGAGCAAAATTTAAAGTTTCTCAACGTACAGTCAGAAAGCTACAATTTACTCATTCGATAGTAGAAATATACTTCGTTTCTCAACATACACTCAGAAAGCTACAATTTTCTGATTCGATAGTAGAAATACTTTACCTTGTAAAGTAGCATTTTGAACTTGTAATGAGAATTTAACTTACGGCACTCAGCGCAGTTCTGCACTTCGATTAAAGACTGTATGAGGATGAGGGCCCCGTAACTTGTCTTAAAACGAACGAATGTTAGCTATTCAACGTCACAAAACACATGTCAAAATAAAAGTTAAAGTTACGTATTTCGAAATATTCCAGACATTTATCTTACATTCTGTGGAAAAAAGTTAGACAAGTCGAATAACTAACTTATATCTAAATGACTACATAAAAAGTTACAAGTTATAACTTAAACTTTTAAAATAGCGTTAAAGACAGTCAAGTAGTAAGTTAAAGAGCCCGCGACAGTATGTTCTTTATTCAGCCGAGGACACATTAAAGCACACAATGTCCTTTCCCAGTTACGTATTATATGTACCGTTAACCAACTAGCTAGTAACGTGGCCAATACCTGTAGCAAAATCTTCCAGTAAGTAAGTCACTTCGTATGGTCCTATGACGTTTCTTTGCCAACTCCACACTAAAAGTACGCACGCGCGAGGTTCCCAACACCGGACAGACTGTTAGAGGGCGCTCCATCCAGAATTTTACGGGATTGCGCCACGGCCATCATAAAAGTTTATAATCATCTTCCTCCAACAACATTCGTTCAAATAAAGAGCCTATAGAAATATGAGATGGGACACGCAACACCGTGGAAGGTCGTAATCCAAAAGTAGCCCCACAATGTAAAACGCTGGCGAACTGCGTATTATTTATTGCAGCTCCCTGGATCTCTTACAATCACAAAAGACTCGAGTATTAGACAAGAATCTGACGAAATAGTCAGTGTAAGGGGGGTGGGGTTCATACACTGTTAGGCACTATAAAAAGCTTACGAACTAAATACTTCACATCGTTACGAACAATTTTCGTTCTTTGAATTGCAAAGAAATTGTTTGTATTGCAAAGCGATTGTTTGTAAGGCTAGACAGGGTCTTACGAACAATCGGTTTGCATTACGAACTATTTGTTCGTAAGCATACGAGCAATTAGTTCGTTATACAACGCTTCAAAATCCTTTGTAAGCTAATAACGTTATGGTTTGCATTACGAACCTATTGTTCGTAAGCAATTTACAGGGGGGGGGGGGGGGGGGGGGGGGGCAAGGGGCCGTTTTGGAACCTTAATGCAATTGTGCCAAAATGGGACCTCTTTATCCGCGCAGGCCCTTTAAAGGTCAGGTACCGTTTTCTACCGCTTTGAATGGTCCAAAAGCGAGACCCGGAAAGGGTCCAGCTTCCAGCTCGGGTGGTAGGTGGCCGCACCGATCCCTTTCTCAGGTCACCGCACTGTAAAGCCGAACGGTAACTTTTGCGCAGATATTACCCTGCCGAGAGTGACAATTTTCGACAATCACCTCACGCGCGTCAAGAAACGATTTGTCGCCCTGCCCAGGGTAATGTGCCGTCGCGTCTCCCGTGTTGAGGGTAAGAATTCTTACCCTCGCTCAGAGGAGACTTTTCTTGCCGCGCTGGCGGCAAACGCAATTCGCCGCCTCGGCGTGACAAAAGTTCCCAGTGCGCTTCACCCCGCACTGGCGTGAAAAATCTTTCCTCTGTGGTGGTGACTCTTGCGGCCGTGGGTTGGGAAATTTTAGTTGCCGTAAGGCGCCTACTTCTATTCGCCGCCTCTGCGAGCCAAAACTGCTCTTTATGCGCTGGTTTTGGAAACACGGTAGAAACCTCTTCCCCCTCTCCCGCACCCGCCCTCCCCGGAGGGAGAGGGACGGAGGAAGAGGAGGGGGAGGGCAAGCGGCGTGCCTGGCGGTGTCGTCGGTAAGGCTGTGCGATATTCGGGAATACCGAAACGATATCGGTATTTTTTTTATACCGATGCTTCGGTATTTTAAATTTCTGCAATTCGGGAACGATATATCGATATTAGCGAAATATCGAAAAATATCGAAAGTTTGGGAATTTTGGTATTTCAGTATTTCGATATTTCGATATTTCCATAATACGAAGAATTTGGAACTCAGAGTGGGTGCGCGCGCCCCTGAAACCTTTACTTTTACTTGTCCGCCCTCCCAGTCTCACCTCGGGCGGGCTAGGACGCCCACCATACGACGTTAGATGGAGCTGCTGGCGTTGCTGGCATGTCAGGCGGCAGACATGGCATCGCGCGCTGCCAAAATTGTTTCACTTCCTCGTTAGCTTCTCTGTTGTCGAAATTGCGATACTTCTGTATTTCGATACTTATCGGTATTTCGATATTTCGGTATTTCGATGATTTCGGTACGGTATCGATAACCGATACCGACAAGTTTCGGCATTTTTCTAATATCGAAGTTCGGTACTGAAATTTCAATACCGCACAGCCGTAGGCCGGGACTGCTTGGCCTGCCGGCGCGCTGCCAAAATTGTTTCACTTCCTGGTTAGCTTCTCTGTTGTCGAAATTTCGATACTTCGGTATTTCGATACTTCGGTATTTCGATGTTTTCGGTACGGTATCGGTAACCGATACCGACAAGTTTCGGTATTTTTTTAATATCGAAGTTCGGTACTGAAATTTCAATACCGCACAGCCCTAGTCGTCGGGCCGGCGAGACAAAGGCTGTAATGTGTTTCGTCGTCCGGATTCGCCCCTGCGTCGGGCTCAATGCGAGGGGTCGCCGACTCGCCTGAGCCTTGTACCCAGTACTATATATTAT